ATTCATAATTTTAATACCAATTTCTATTTGACATAATATACTAATATCAGATAGAGAGTGTAGCTGCTTCCTGGATTTAGGGAGGAAATGATGCATATATCAGAATTATCTGCTCAGATGCCAGAACTACATTGGTGTCATTTCAGCATGTGCTGTGTTGAAAGGAAATCCTCTATATTTATTACTCCGATCATCAGAGGAGCTAAATGGACCCACTGTTTCTGACACCTGTTCAGATGGCTGAATTTAAAATTTCATGCAGGAAAAAAAAATCCTACATACTTCAATGTTAGGAATTAAGGTTTTTTTTAATACACTTTTCTCCCTCTCTCTTTTCAAATCGCTGTGTTGTGTGCGGCTGCCGTGAGGCTTGGGCATTCTGGGGGTAGCTATGGAGAGTGGGATAGATTTTGTTTGCTCAGCTCTGACAAAAAACAATCCTGCTGAAACACACACACAACACACACACACACACAGTCTGGAACCAAATGCTTCAGAACTCTGCTTTAAGTGCAGGTCTCAGTATGAATAACATGATATAGCACACCCCAGAACGTGGCAGAGGTGAGCGGCCAAGAAAGAACTCGTCTTTTCGGGAGGGAGCTGAGCACTGAACCTCTTCATAATTTTAAGGCTCCTCTAATGAATTTTTTTGGGCACAGCAGGTACAAATCAATAGATTAAAATACTGTACACTTTGCTGCATCTAATTCTTGACTGCCTGAAATTGCGGGGGAGGACCGAGAATAACATTTGTCACTCTGAGGGCTGAGTGCATTCAGATTTGTGAGCTCTAAGCCAACACAATGCAAAAATAGTCCAGGATGTGACTTAAGTTATCAAGTGAAAAGCAAGAGGCCAGGGATCTGCGAGGCTGTAGTTGGCAGACAGGCAGCTCCATCCCGAGCCATCTATCACCGTATCGGGTTGACCTGGCAGAGTGTGACAACATCTCAGTGCCCTCGATGCACGCTGCCTGTATTTCAGCGCTCTCTGAAATGATCATTTTCGTTCACTATTGCTGCACCCACTTTTTTTCCCTCCAAATTCTGGCTTTTAAAACTGTGTCACTTGCGACGCACAGTGAAGTGTGCAGGCCTGTAATCGTGGTGCAGTGAGTGACGAGGGCAGAAGTTGCCCTGCCTCTCTCTTTGCTTGTTTTGAAGCCCTGTGGACTTTGTGACATGATTTTCTCTTTTTTTAAATTAATAAACGTCATTGTTTTGTAATGCATCGCAATACAATGTTTTACATGGAAGGAATCAAAGAGAGAGCAGAAGTTTGCTAGAACTGGTGTTTCTCCCCCATGCAGGAAAAAAAAAAATCCCCAGTAAATAACAAATCCAGCAGTGTCCTCAAGTTTCCAGCGGGGGTAGAGGTTGGAGTGTCCCTGGGTGCCGCTCTCAATTGTTAATTCATAAAGACCCACAGTCCTGAGCAATGCTGCCCCAGCTTGTCCTGATACAGCAGAGATGCCGATGGCTCTGCACGGAGGCGTTGAGCCTCAAACACCCTGTTCCAGCGAAGGCTCTGGCGTCTCCCTGACCTTCAGTCCTTGGGGTTTCCCTTAGATCTGGGTGTCCCCGAAAGGCTGCAGGGTGTGGGGACAGCGGGATGTCGGCAGAGCTCAGCGCCCGCACGCCTTTACCTCCCTGCCGCCAGCCCGGTACCTGCCTCGGCCGTGGGAGCAGCAGCCCTGGGGAGGCTTCTGGCACGGATTTTCACCTCCCTGCTTCCAGCAGCTCCTGAACGCCCCGGGCCGGGGCTGCCTGTGCAGGGATGCAGCCCCTCCCGTCCCTCACGGCACCGGGGCCGCGGCCGGCGGGGTCGCTTGGAGGGCGGCCGGGTCCCCGAGGGGGCTGCCCGCAGCCCGGCCCGGCCAGGCCGCCACATCCAGGGGCACAGCCGGGCACAGCCCCCTGCTCCGGCACAACTCCCGGGCACAGCCCTCGCCCCTGGCACAACTCTGACCCCGGGCACAGCCCCTGTCCCCGCTATAGTCCTAGTCCCTGGCCCTGGCCCAGTCCCTGTCCCCGGGCACAGCCCCCGGCCCCGGTCCCGAGGGCTGCAGGGGCCGCCCGCCGCGGCTCCCACCTCAGCCAGGTGCGGGGGACAGGCCCCGCCGCCCGGGAGGGGCAGGAAGGTGAGACCGCATCCGCTGTTTGTTTGCTTCTTGTTTGTTTCTCTCTAAATCCCATCCCTGCAACAAAAGGGGAGGCAGGGCGGAACTATGGATCCGTCTGGCCGCGCATCCAGAGCGGAGCTCCGGTTGTCACCCGGCGGCTCCCGCGGGCCGCCCGGCCCTAGGTATGTCCACAGAGCACTTCCCTCGGCTTTGGTCACAGTATTTCCAAATTTTCTTCTTTTCCTTTTTCTTTTTCTTTTTCTTTTTCTTTTTCTTTTTCTTTTTCTTTTTCTTTTTTTCTTTTTCTCATTCCTTTTCTTTTCCCTTCTCTTCCCCCTTTTTTTTAAAATTTTCCTTTCCCTTTCCCCTTCACTTTCCATTTCCCTTTCTCTTTTCCCTCTCCCTTTTTTCTTTTTCCTTTTCCTTTTTCTCTCTCATTCTTTTTCTCTCTTATTTTTCCTTTCCTTTTTCTATTTCTTCCTTTTTTCCCCTAGTTTTTGAATTTTCCCCCTTTTCTTCCTTTCATTTTCCTTCATACCTGTGCACACACAGAGACAAATCTAAACCCAAAGGCAACAAAAGGGATCTTTTAAAATGAATTTTTGGATCAGGCCTCAAGTTCTCTGCAGGGAGCAGGAATGGGAGCCGGCAGGATTTACATTTCATGGCTTTTAAAGAATCTGAAGTGCGGGGAACGGCGTTTGCCGAGGCTGAGTTTCACAAGTCTGTGTGGATGTGCCTCGGAATGTGTATATGATTAAGCTTAAAGCCCTCTTCTGTAAGAAAGCAGGCAGATTCCCTTTTGTACAGCCTGAGCCTTGCTTCTCCAGTTTTGAAACAAAACTTCTTGCCAAGGCCTTGGCAGTGGGATGTCACTGCTGAAAGGAATGGGATCAGGGTGTTGGAATTGTCTTCCAAAGCTGAGGCGTCTCCACTGCAAACAGCCTCTGCTTCCTCAAGCACTGAGAGCTGTGACAATAAAAATGATCCCAAAATTGAACAAAACAAGATCTAGTATTTTTTTTCCTTTCTTACCCTTTCCCCTCAACTCGACTGCTTCCAAACTCCCTGATGAAAGCATTTTAATATGTAGGAAGAGCTGCCGGAGTCTGCAATGCGATTCAGTGTTCTGTGGTGTGGGATGAACAGATTTTCCTTTCCGTAGGGTTTCCTCCTGCAAAGTCATTGTAGAGGAGGGAATACTGTAAGATTAAATCTGGTTAAAATACTATATTCATGTCACACCAGATACGGTCTCCAGACTGTGCACAGTCTTTCAGCTTCCTTTATTGTGAAATCCTTTTAAAATAGCACAGTATAGTGTAGAGAACTTATTGAAGTATAACTGTCTTACACCAACTCTGTCAGATAAAATGAAGGAAAGTGATCAGGCTTCTTAAATTAATAAATCAGTTTAGTGTCTCTGGTTGCCTTCACGCTCTCTTACTGTCTTTGACTCCTTCCTTATTAATAAACTGATAGTTGAATAAAGCTGCTAAGTGAAGCAATGCACCTTGTCGGTGGAAGAGGGTCGGTGTTCCAGGTGTGCTGTGCTGGGAATGGTTGTGGGTTTAGGGCAGGGATGGCCACAGCAAAGACTGAAAGCAGGCTGACCACATCAGTTCCTAGATGCTCCTCAGGTGTGAGGCTTGAGTATCTGTTCTTCTCAGCCCCCTGCATTAATAACAGGATGAATTAACCGATTGGCATGAAAGGAGAGGTCGTCCTGGGAAAAATGACACCAAAGGTCCACAGGAGTCATTTGCTTTTAGAGATCCCGGGCCAGGTGCCAAGTATTGCATTTATCTAAGCACCATCCCCTTTCTCAAAAGAAAAAACCAAACCAAAACCAAAACAACGAACTCCAAACCTAAAAGAAAAAATCAAACCAAAACCAGAAGGCAGCATCTCTTTCAGTGGCATGTGGGGTCCTTTCAAAGAGGGGGTGGGTTCTTTTGAGTGGGGGGCTATGGGTGGGATGTGGGACAGGGATCATTCAGCTGGATCCAAATGTGCTGCCCACTTTTGTTTTCAGAGCTGCAGAGCTAATCTGGAATCAAAATGCTGGAAAAGTGCCTATAGTTTTTCTTGCCTTTTTTTTTTTAATTCAAGTCGATCGGGCTTGTGGTTTATTCTTGCTCTGATTATGCTGCACGGTTACAATAAATGCACGGAGCTGAAGCATTCCTGCAGGCGTTTCATAGGAAATATACGTGTGTGTCTGTGCATGCACACTCAGGGAGAGAAAGTTGATTGTAAGGGACACAACAAAATATCCATATTTAAGAAATGTGGATTGACTCACTGACCTATCTCACTTATTGTACAAAGATTCACTCTACGTTGATTTTTTTTTTTTAAATTAGGTTTTAAATATGTGTTGACAGGATGAATTTGTACAGTGTGAGTAACTGCAGGGGGAAATGACAGCTCTGCTTTTGTTATTAAACTACTGTCTTGAAAATAATGGAGTGTGTACAAAAATTGATTATTATTTTGCCAATTACATTAGTGCAGCTAATAACAATCATTAAGAAAGAAATACAGAAAGCTACACTCTTTCAGATATTAGAAATTGATATTCACTGGTGAGGCAAAAAATATGTGTTGTTAAGGTAATTTGTCAGTAAGAATCTCCTGTTATTAATGTGAAGTAAATACTAGATGTGTGAGCTAGAAATGTTTCACTTCAAACTGTGTTCATTTCTTCTTCACTCAGCCAGAGTTAATAAACAGTACAAGAGACTTTCTAAATTTAATTTAGGATTTGCATATAAAAGGTCCTATTCTGTACCATAGTGGCACAGCAGACAGGCTTTATGATGTTAAATATTCCTTTTAATAATAGTTTATTTTAATATATTTACTAAATTAGGTACCCGAGAGAATCATCTACAACGGTGATGTGAAAATCCCTGTTACCTGAGGTCAAAAATAAAAGGTATGTTTTCCTTTTCATTAGCAATTTGCCATATTTCAGCAGGGGTGGTAATTTCACTGCTTTGTTTTCTGCTGCTAAGATGGTGCTTTTTGCTCAGCCCTGGGGAGCCGCTGACAGGCTGTGGTGCAGTTTCCTGGGCTTTTGGGTGAGGCTGATTTCAGGTGCCTACAAGAACCACTTGCGATGATGGGGCTTTGTACTTTTGTCAGCCAGGCAGCTCTCTCGTGTCCCACACCTCATATATAATCCTTTGCAAATGTTTTCTTTCTTTTTCTTCAAATGCTAGCGTTCAGACACCAGCTATGGGGATTAAGGATGGGTCTTCTGAAGATCTCCCTCAGATCTTGAAGAAAATCATGAGTCTGTGTTAGATGACTTCAGTACTTACAAATTACAATAGAGTTTAATTCACAGCACTGCTTTCCTCTGGAAATTCGTGTTCATTCAATCTGTCAACATTGACTAAAAAATATGCTGCTAATGAAAATGTGGGAATTAAAACTTTCAATCCCTTCCCCTGCTAGACTCAAACAGGCACTTTATTTTTTTTTTCTGTGGAATCTGACTTTTATTGACCTTGACTATAAAAATACTAAGTGGGTTAAATGAGCACCAAGGTTGCAATGACAGATTCCTGTGTGAATTTTTTTATGAAACCTCCTATTTTAGTTAAGAACACAGCCTGCCATACAGCCTGCCACACTTTGATCAACGGTTAAGTGCTGTTAGAAACAGCTGAATTTTATTAGCTCATGGAATTAAGCTTGTTTAAATAATAGATTTATTTTTTATCTTTTAAAAGAAATGTAAATAATAAATTAAAATTATAGATTTATTTGTTAATTTTGAAAATAAATTTAAGTAACAGATTTATTATTTAAAATTTAAGTGAGGATGGTGAGGATGTAATTGGTGCTGTAGCCTGTACATTAAATGGAACTGAGAGGAGTTTTTGATGGTGTATGGGCTGTAGGAATAGATTTCTCAAGGAGCACTGCAGGACCTTCATTTTAAACCTGGTGCTCCTTTTACTTCCCCGAGGAACACACTGGATAGGGTTTTGCCCACGGTGCATTTTTTTTTTCTGTTTTTCACCAGTGTAAGTGAGAGGGAAGCAAGACCACTTGGGTTTTTTTTTGTGAAAACTTAGAGTGCAATATGCTTTTTTTGGCAAGAATAGAGCCAACTTGCTATCAGCTGAAGTAAAAACATGAAGTGTGTATTTTAATTGCAAAGGTGCAGCACTTATGTCATCAACTTGCTCCTAGGGAAACCTTTCTAATTTCAATAATCTCACAGAAAAATCTTCCATGCTTCCTGTAATTCATGTATGTGACTATTAGATTTATATAAATTAGTGATATTTATTCTTTTTATCCATATAATAAAAAAGGAAATATTTTTCCCTTATCGACACTTGTGATCTCAACACTTGCTTAGCCTGCTGTTCTCTGGGACAATTCCTCATATCTTCCCTCAGTATTTTGTGGTTATATTGTCACATATTATAGACAAAAAAACACCAACAAAACAACTAGGAGAAAAATCTGTTAGTTTTAAGCAAATAGCTCTTGGGTCTTGGAAGAGTTAACAAACTTTTACAGCAAGGTTCAGGCAGTTCTGACCCCTATGGTAATATTTCATCTAAGGTTACTGTTGGGAGAGAAATCAAATTTCAGCTGTGAACATGATTGACAGGTGAAAGCAAGAGAGAGAAAGACATCTGGTCAGATGGGGAATTTGGGCAGGAGAAGGACAATTCAGGGAAGTGTCTCTGTGATATTAGGAATAATGTGCTTAGATATGAAAACTCCGATCCTCCACGCTGTCTAGAGGAGAGCTCACTTGATATTCATGGAGGTGGCTTGGTTGGGGGAATTTAAGACTGTACATTTATAGTAGTGGACAGTAGTCTCCATGGTCTGACTTACTAACTTGGCTGCTTTGAAGGAATTGTGTTATTTCTGGCAAACTTTAAGGATTTTAAGGGCCATTTATTTAATGACTGTGACAGGAATATTTGGTGGTTGCTGGTTAAGAGGCTCTCACCATGATGTCCCTGGCAGGTCAGGCAGCACAGGGGTGGTGGAGGCCAGTACTGGTGCCACTGATGCCCTCCCACTTCTGACAGCTTTCAGAGTAAGCACTGCAGGATGAATTTTGTGTTTATGATATGCACTCTTATACCAGCAGCAAAATTAGTTGCTACCCATTAAATACCACTAAGGGTCCATTGTGGTGTTTTACAAAGCAGCTGTTATTTTCCAAGGGCTGTGTTTTGCCTTATTCCAGCTCCCAGCAGCACCAGCTAACATCCCTTACAATACATACATAGCCCCAGGTGTTTCACGGTGCTTCAGTGTATTTTATTTGGTGCAGAAAAGCTTTTCCATCCTCCAATGTTGTGGAACCAATAAGAATAAAATATCCTTGTATTTCCTGATCAGCATGATGATGTTGGAAAGTAGAATTTACTTCTGACATAAAAAATGTAGCCAGGTTTTTTCTTAAAAAAGGCAAGAAAAAAAAAATCTGTTGGCTTTTTTATTGCTGTGTGTAACAATGTTTCAGTTTTCAAAGAGGGTCGGAAGGACTTTTTCAGGGCTCCAAGGGCAGGATGAGGCAATGATGGACCCTGGGATCTAAATTGCATCCTACCTACATCCCAGGTGAGAATAGAGATCCTGTGTGGACTTCTGGCCCCACTGAAGCCTTTGGTAAAATCACCCTTTAATTCCTGGGCATGCACTTCCACCAGAATGGAATATCTGTAGGGGAGGTTTTATGATAAAAAGCAAAATCTGAACTTATACGGAGGTAGCTGAGCTATGAATTATCAGGATGGATGTTCTTATTTGGGAGTAAGGGTAGATTTCCCCCTTCCCTAGTACAGCTAACCTGCTTTCAAAATAAAATAAATTAGCCAGGAAAATCCACTCTTATTCTAGAGCAGGAGTGTCCACCCAGGCAATGACTAGCACTGCAGTATAGTTTATTTCTTAATTTCCCCATATGGATGAGATCTAAACTAAGGGGAAAATAAGGAGCAGTAAAAAACAGAAATGTATTTTCTGTTCCTTTTCCAGTTTGCCTCTAAGACTTTTCACACAGGGGAAATCATGGCATGCTGAAAATACACATTTACTTACTTTTCACTGCTATTCCTGCATTTGCACATGTGTTTTTAAAAGAGATTTGTGTTTTGTGCAAGACCTTTTGCATTCTCATACTATTCACGTGTATTTTTGATGTGCAGTTGAGTCTGTCTGTTCATGACATCATTTCTCTTTTCATGGCCATGGCCTATGATACCCAGCTTCACTGCAAATTAGATCTTGTTTTTCTTCCTAGACTGTACATCTGATAAAATTGAAAATTAAAGCTAAGAACTGTAAAAACAATCAAATTTCTTTGTGCATGAGCAAGTTATTTTTAACTTTACATTGTTGAATTAACACTCCCTTTAAAATGTCTTTATTTTCTGAGGCTGATATCAAGATAACTTCCATGAAATATTATTGGCAAACTTCCCAAAGCAGTAAGTGGGAGCCTTGTATGTATTTTTCAAGCAGATGTGCTGTATTAAGCCTAAATGAGAATCTTTTTTTATCAAATGGGATGCAATATGTTATTCTTGATTAAAAAATTCAGAGTAACCTTGCCCCCTCCCTTTCCTCTCCCCAAACATGTTTAGTACAATTTACAGATCATTTTGCATAGGTAAAAATAAGTACTTGAGTGTTTATAAAAAGCAGGATTTTACTATGCCTCAAATGCCTTTCTAGCTCATTCCTATGAATTTGAAGTATGAAAATGTCTCAAATCTTTATGAGTGAAGAGAAAGTATATGCTATATGTAACAGCTTTTACTCCCCTAAAATTCCCAGGAAAGACAATTTAATACTTTTCTCTGTGTTTAAAGTAAGCTCTAAAATATTTTCTGATGATGTAGTTCTTGCTGTTGTTTAGTTCTAATAAAGGCTTTTAAGTGCTAAAGGAAAAAAAAAAAGTAATATTTTTAACATCTCTCCTGGCTTTTCTGATTTGTGCCACTTACCAAATGATTCGCACTGTACCAAAATACAGGAGATTGATGAGACAGGAAAAGTACTGATTTAACATCCCACATATAAAATTATTTCTCAGGCTCCACATATAGTCACAATGTTTAGAGAGCGAAGAAAACGGGAGCTGGGAGTCACAGTCTGACTCACTTGTGAGACTTTGACCCACTTATTCGATTCTAGATTCAGCAAAATACTGAAGCACTTTAAACTTGTTATCTGAGGTTTCTTCTAAAGGTCTGTTACTGTTGATCTCTTTATATCTCAGTTTACACAGTTATAAACCTAGATAATTAATTCTTACCTTCTAGGCTTTTGTGGGAGTTAAAAAATAGCTGTAATGTTCCTTGAAGCTCTTTAATGAAAACTGGTTTATTGAAGTACTTGTCATTTACCTTACTTCATACTCTGGGATGAGAAATCACTGGTGTTGCCCAGTTCCCACGCACCATTTCTACTGGGATGGGAATTTATTCTCCTGAGTGCACTGGGCCAAGATTACAAAGATCAGGTGCTTTGGGAGCTGGTCATTTTCTGAATCACACATAACTTTACCCTGATTTTGAACGTGCCAAAATGTAGGCAAAATCAGTTATGTGCCCCATTTCTCTCTTAAAGGCATTATATCTTTAATACCTCTATGTACAGAATAGCTCCTGTGCACCTGCAAGGCATGCAGAGGTCACACTGTCCTTGTAATTCCTCCCCTTCCTGCCATTACCTTTTTTTCCCAAGGTTCAAGCCATTATCATTCAGCAGTTGTGCAGCTTTTCTTTTCATCCATCCCCAAATTATAATTGTTTCCCTCCTACCTTCTACCCCTCCCGAACCATAATGGAGTCCTCAGCTGTAAATTTGCTAACTATAAAGATTTTTGCTTGAAATGTTTTGAAAATGCTGCAAGAAAAAAAAAGAAAAAGGAAAGAAAGCCTATGA